ACGAGGGGTATTCACAGGCAACAAACTCTATGTGGATGCGGTCTCCGCTGACCCCGGCAAGAACTCAGGTATGTTGTCACCCACAAGGTTCAGAAGAAGCTTCAAAGGCTTGTTATTCAAAATGAGGTGCAAGGATGGATTTGCAGATACCTGCATGAGGGGAGGTAAGGACTAGATGCCGATGGAATGCTATATAAGCCGCAACCTCTCGTGGGCAATGTTCCCCAAACCACTATCTTTGGAACCCTAGCTCTTCATCTTTATGTTTTCGGAAATGTCCATACGCTAACTTGACAGACACAAGGGACAATCCCCAATTCTTTGTACTTGAAGAACCCTCATGTGTTTGGGATTTGGAAACAACACAAAAGATCAGTCGGGCGAAATGTTATATTTGGTAGGCCGAATCTTCGATTATTGATTTGAGGAATTATTCTACCCCACCATGTCACCGGAATACCAAAGGTTGTGACCACCTTTGTTGTTTGCTGATGACACCGATATATAAAGCATCATTCATTATGATTACAGTGACGGCAGTGAGTCCGCACTGAATTCTGTTACTGATGAACTGGTTGGGTGGCCCAAACTATGAAGATAATAAGCCAATTCCGGTAAAAGTGTGATGGTGCACATCGGGGGCCACTACTATGGTAGACACTTGATCAACGGTCAATCGATACCTCAGATTTTGAAACAACAGGACTCAGAAGATGTCGGAAGCCGCTACGTAGAGGGGCCTTCAGGTTGGGATTCGTCTGCGGCTGCGGCGTTTCACATACTATGGTTGCACTGCGGAGCATCCGAACGTTTTGTTGACTACATGTTCATCTTTCTATGCGAAACTTAGGTGAGGCCTATGTCAGAGTATTACATCCATTCAGATACTCCTTGGGTAAGAAAGGAGCCTGACTCATTACGGTGTATCACATCAAACACGCTTAGTACCCCTTAAATAATATACGAATTTCAAGAGGTCCCAAGACCCAAAGCGAAATCGACCAAATCCAAAACAATTAGTTGCCAAAAAACGAGTTTATATTCAAACAGTGGGTGAGCCCCGTGAAAATTGTTCTTTACAACAAAACATATGTACAAGACTTGGTAACGAACCTTCAGTTTTGACGGCTGCTGCAGTTTCTATCCAAAACGAAGTACAATGTTAACACCAATCGAAACAGGAGGTTGAACACGGTTATACAAGCAAATTGAATGAAGTCAAACATAATGAGTGGTCAGTGTTTTGAATACACTACAAGATCACAATTAAAACACATTCAGCGGGATAGATGCCACGATTTGGCACAAAACTAGTTGCAGGCCCCTTCTTCCTGCCTTCCGAATGATGATCAGGGAGAATAAATCCATTTCCCCCCTAAAAATTGCTCCAGTGCGAAACTGATAAATGCAGAGACCAATAACTAATTGCCCTTACTTGTAATTTACCCACGAATGTGAAGCCAAGGGAGATCTCAATGGCGTAGTCAGATAAGAATGTTATATTGAAGAGGTCGTGGCGAGATACCGATGGGTTTCGACCAGCTGGCCAGGGGATCGATTAAGAGCAGTGTAATGTAACACGACAACGTGCCAAATGACGTGGACGCTTTGCCATGTGCCTTCAGCTTAGCGATTTCGGCGAACATCATTGTTGAATTTCGTCGAACCCTACGCCTTTGATTTCGGGGACTTGTGCGCAGCTTCATCCTTATCGTGGGAAACTTGGTTGTTGATTTAACCGATCTCATTACCTCTTCCAGAACTGACCATCTAAAAAGCCACCAAGAAAAGATCAAAAAGCAGCACCAGAATCACACTAGAGTGCAGCGCTGATTTTTCTGTAGAGTGGAACGTGAAGGTAGTTCGTCACCGGAACGGGTTGTAGCATTTCTAATGATGAACAAGTTCGAGAAAACAGAGATCTTTACAGAGGCAATCACGACAAAGACTAAAACAGACCAACAGACTGCCAACCCTTTTCGATAGGACCGGAAGCAGGAAAATCATGCATTTAGGAGTCTGCATTGTTTCTGACGGCCCAAGTGGTTGTCGACGGACTGGAAGAAGTTTTTATCTATCTGATTTCCGTCTCTAGAATCTATGGATCACTAGCATCGGGGGTGTTAGCCTACGTGTTGGTGAAAAGACAGAAAGAGCCGGCGGTTATGGTATGAAAACGTAGTTAGTTTCGAGTTAGCTTCTTCGAACGCCTTAAGTGTGTCAGGACAGAGTTATCAGGATTCAGATGAAGTACCCTGGCCCACATCTAGCGGAAGAATGTCCTAGGATTTAAAGACTTTTAGGAAGTAGAAGCTGCCCCAGATATCCTACCTGCCTTGTTCTACGGACAGTTTCTGTTTGCGTTTTTTACCAACAACATCCAGTAAGTGGTGGGGCGGGTGCCTAGTAATGTTAAAGATATGAATCACCATCAAGCCTACTTTTTGTCTTCTACGTCACAGAGGATATACATTAAGGAGCAAGCAGCCGTTCTTCATGCTCTCTGGGCACAAGTCATCGAACTGATTTGCTCGACAGCCCCTGGATGTGTCCAAGGCTTAGCCTGTCCCCCTTCAGGGAGGGGAGAAGGCTAAAGCCACGAACTGCATCTGAGGCAGTATGGCAATACTGAAAGCTCGGCGAAAACATCCGCTATCGAAACATCCAGAAATCCCCCGAGGGTTAGTGACGCCAGGCTTCGATGAAATGCACTAGTAGTGTTGGCTTGGGATTCTAAGCTTTGAAGGACCGAGGTGCCCAATTCTCTCTCCACATGTGACGCTTCCAATTCCATGCCGTCGAGAATATACATATGGCACGCATCACGTTTTAGATGTAAAATCTTACATTTTTCAGCGTTAAATGCACACATATCATTGATAGCCAAATGTTGATTTAAGTCTTCTTGTAGGGACACACTATCTTTCGGACCTCCGACTTCTGCCCGCAGTTTCAAGTCATGGCTGAAAAGAAAGATTTCAGAAGTAACCAATTGTGAAAAGTCGTTACTGTATATTGGGTAAACAAAAGGCCACAGTACTGATCCCTGGGGAACTTTAGTACGACATGCTGTTTCTTTGGACAAAGAAAAGTTTGTTCGAGCCGCACATAAACGGCCACGTAGACATGAGGACAGTATGTCGATGAGTGGTGGAGTAATCCCTGTGAGTTTTAGTTTGTCAGTAGAGCGGTTGTGAATGACCTGATCAAAAGCCTCGGAAAAGTTGACATAAATGTAATCAACTCTACCTCGTTGGTCGGCAACACTAGCTCATCTATCGATTGTAGTGAAACGGCTATTGATGCGAGCGTACCCTTCTCTAAATTCATGCCTTTGAGTTGTGAAGTTCATCGTCACAAAGTGATCCCTCACTCCCTCATAAATTCACGACTCCATTACTTTGTGAGGTATAGATTATAGTGTTGTCGATCAGCATTTCTTTGGGTCTATTCATTGACGACCTTTTAATATCGAGGGTCTGGGCACTCTCTCTTGACCTAAGGGATCTTGAAGCAATGCACTTAAAGGCTCGATCAAGATTGACGCTCCTTTTCCCACACCTCTGCGTGGATTTTATCTGACCACGGAGAGGTGTTTACTGCGAGGAGCAGCGGTTTACGTTGCATTAGCCCAACTCATGAGCCAATGACCGAGAATCGTAACTCTTTGGTACGACATTTGTAAACTTCCAGGTAGGTGGAAGTGGATGAAAGGATTCGTAAATATTGGTCATCTAGGAGCTCGGTTGCCTCAGTGTCGCTACTAGTCAGTCTGTTGGGCCCAAGTAGTCGGTCGAAATGATGTGGTTTAGCTGAACGGGCTTCTCGGGTGGCAGACAAACCTATTTGGTAGCCCGACTTGACACCGTTGGCGATCGGCTCTCAGTGCCTTAGTGCATGTGATTCTTGTCCACTTGAAAGGGTGCATGGGTGCGCTTTCACCACCATTTAATTTGTATTCAGGTTGGCGGGGTGCCTTTAACCTAAGTGTTCTGAGAATATGACTGCTGGTAACATTAGACAGCTTGGCAAGGAGAGTGGAACATACTGGCTGATAGCACGCATTGTATCATCAAATATGAATCTCCAATGAGTGTTCATATCTTGGCGTACGTTGTCGACCTCCTAATCCGTATGTTTCAGTACCTTCAAATGACTGGAGGTCTCAGTCGCCTAATGGTGGACATACTGGAAGGCGATAACAGCATGTTCACTCCTGTTCGATAGATGGACGATCGCTAGATTGTCAATTAGGAACTCTTCACTTGTGAAGATCCAGCTTAGTCATACAGGATTTAAATTTCCCCCTCGCCGTGCTACTGAATTCACATCTTGCACAGGTCCTAGAGTCGGGCTTCAATGGAACCATCAATCCCACTAAAAGTCTGATCTGCAAAGCTAACCTTCAGTAGGTTAAGACCACCTTGGGTAAGAATTTGCGTGCAACAGTCTAACAAAACAACTGATTGTCTGTACGATTTGGTCATCATTTGGTGGATCAGTGGATGGCTTCTTATAAATAACCTCCCCTAGCCCTGGATACCTTTATGAAGCTCAAGGTAGACTGCACAAGACAGTTCATTTCTTGAGTGATCTGGTGAGATGTGCCAGAACAGCTAACGTGAAGTGCTACTCCACAGAACTCATTAGTTCCCTTGTCTCTGTGAGGAATTATGGTGTTGGCAACACCCAGTTCTGGGTCTGACATTTCAAGAGAAACCGGTATGTCAGTAACACCCATACGATGAGGGTAGGTGTCCTTACTTAGTTCCGGTATTTCATTGAGTTTGTTCCTCAACTTTTGTGCATTTGCATGAATTCAATTTATGTTGCAAACTTTGAACTCACTTTCTGAGACTTCTCGGCTGTCTAATTCACTGACTAAATTCTCAGATGTGGAGGCTGTTAACCCACTTGAGTGCGGTTTACCAGTGAGCACTATGAACACTATGACCATTGCATAGTTGAATCAAGACTTGGCTAAAAATTAAAAGGGTGGAAATAAATCGCTGCTTTGCAATCCTTGCCCCATAAAAATAATTGTGATTGTGACATTTAATGCATAGTGGTAAATTGTTTTGTTTGTTCCCACGCGCGCGATAACTTGCTAGTAATCACCAGGTTCGCTTCGAGAACTCACGTGAAGAAATGGTGAGTGTGCTATTCCGCTGTACTATTTTGTTAGGCTGCCCGTGCATTCCGAAAATTTGCTCCCCTGTTTGATCGTGTCCTGGTGCAGCGTTTTGAGGCTGAAACCAAGACTAAAGGTGGTATCATGCTGCCGGAGAAGGCCAAGGGGAAAGTTCTAGAAGCAACCGTAGTTGCACATGGTCCAGGAGTAAAAAATGAGGTAAGCCTCCTGAAGTTGTCAGTAATCGCTGTAGAAGGGTGAAATAGTCCCAGTGTGTGTCGCTGTTGGTGATAAGGTTTTCCTCCCCGAATATGGTGGGACTAAAGTTGTTTTGGAGGATAGCGTAAGTGTAACCTTCTTGATACATGATCTTTTTCAGGAATACTTCCTCTTTCGAGAGTCTGATATACTGGCGAAATTCGAGAACTAATTCACCCTTCAACTTAGTCTCCCCTCCACTGTACACTGACAACTAAAATAACATAGTTTTACCTTTTCATTCGTTGCTTTTTGGTTCGCGTAGGGGCGTGAACATACAACTTATTTCGTCGGTGTTCTGCTTTGTGTCAATGTTTTCACATGCATCAAGTAGTGTTCAAATCTTAATGACGGATTCAAGCCTTATGGTGGTGTTTGTATTGTATGCTATCCTATAATAGCATGACTACCTTATCACGATGCTCATGGTAACCATACTCAGGCTGGTGAGGTCTGATTGTTGGTTTCAGTTGTGTCGGAAGGTTTGTGCCGCTTAGTCGAGACCCTCGAAGTAACAAGAGTTAGGGAACATTGGTGATTTAGTAGGAAATCTATCCGTATGGTGCCGATCTACCTACCCCTTGCTGCACTCACGTTTAGACATCAATTGCCTCCTTTGCAAATTCCTTCTGATCGCGAGCACTGGTCTACCTAGATATTGTTTTCAACCGCCTACTTGCTCTCTTTCAAGCTGTAACACCCAATCAAGCCTCCAGTAAAGTGAATCAAAAAATGCGGCTGACTGAACACGTTTCTAGTCCTGTGGTGTGGGTTGGCATCCTTTGGATTCTTAGCTAATGGCGTACAGTCGTCGTAGGTGTGTGGTCTAAGACTCGGCTGGAAGTTTATAAGCAACATAATTCTAAGGTCGGTGGGAAGACCATGTTTACTTTCCGAAGCACGGGACGATCTCTTGGTCCAGGGAACTCATACAGACTGTTGTGTTAGTCGACTATGTTCTTTGGTTAGCCTTTTTAACATTGGGATTTTACCACAGGTGTGTATCAGTGAATTGCCGTCTGAAATGTTTAGCTACATAGTCAGCGTGTTTTGATACCTGACATAAGGTGTTGGATATCGTTTTCGAGGGGACATTTTGGGTGGCGAGACTTCTCATCTTTTCCCCGAGGGTTATGTACGTTAGACTACGAAACATGACCATTGAGTCATAGAGAAGAGATAATTCATCGAGGAAAATTTTCTTTTTCGACGATATCATATTCTAAAGCTGTACAGTCGTACTTATATATTTGATAAACATAACAGTCCATTATAAAACAATAGGGTATAATTACATCACTAACCGGGTGCTACGAAAAGTCGAATCAAGAATGCGAAGTAGTTACGTAATAGTCTATGACGGTAGAAATATCAAGGGAGGCGAGGAGTCTGACAAGGTGAAAATTGTTGGTAGATAAGGAACGCAAATATTGAGTGTCCACTTGAAAGGTAGGTATAAAGAAGGTGAAGAATGAGACAGGGGTCATAATGAAGGTGATAATAATAAACTAATTGATTATAATGAAGTCGAAAAAAATGAAAGTGCTAAGACCGTGGTAAGATGGAAGATTGAACATACTTCTTGATTCGGTTTTTCGTAGCACTCGGTCAGTGATGTAATTGTTTTGTATTTTTGGGGCCGGATGGTCGAAAGGAAACGATAAGTGAACCAACACCGCCGGCCCGGCAGACCGTGGGGCGTGGTGGAGTGTTATTTTTGGGGCCGACCTTTTCTAACCCCCCCCCTCCCGCTTCCACTGAGAAGGCAGCATCAGCATGGCACTGCTGGTCATCCAAGGGAAACACCTTACTGTTGTCACATCCCATCCAGCTAACAGCAGTACGACTTCGCCCTCAGACCCCCATCATAGTGTAGCAATTTACACTATAACGGTAACTGCTTTTCGTCTAACCACTATCCAACAGACCTTTCTGGTATGGTAGGACCTCGAGGGAACAAGTGTTCCACCAGCATAGCTCGTTGGGTCATTGTGATATGCAAGCGAGATCACCACGTCAAGGTAGCAGCTATTGTTTTATAATGGACTGTTATATGTTTATCATATATATAAATACGATTGTACAGCTTAAGAAAATAACATCGAAAAAGAGAATTTTCTTCGCTGAATTGTCATTTCTTTATGTACGTTAGTTAATGAGGTCTTATGTAAGTTATAGCAGCCCAAAAGTTCTTGTTGACTTTCATACACTTCTTATGTAAAATCGTCTGTTTTCGTTGCATACCAGTGTGAGTCGTTATGGTTTGGTTGGTTGTTGACTGGGTAGTTGCACATCTTTGAAGTAGTCTGCTTAACTTCCGCTACATGGACTTGTGTAGCACAAGAAAGTCATCTAGTTGTCTAGGGAATGGCGCTGATATTTAGTGTTACGAAATATTATCCTCTGCAGATGATGCAGTTTTGGAACTCAAAACGTAACGAAGTGTGTAAACTGACAAATTTTGTGGCCACCTGGTCTTTCATATCGATTATTGAATACTACGCTAGCTGATCATTCAGTGATTCTCTGCATAAACCACTGCTATCAGAGTACAAGCTAAAACGTCGTCACCTTAGTACGAATGTAGACTGTCGATATCAACCCACATGAAACACTGCATCACATCGGGTCTGTGGGAAGTTGCTACCTTTGATGTGAAACTCGTATGGCTTCGTCCTACTTCAGTCATTTTGTGGATGGTTTAGAGACAACCGGCTTCAGTGTAAAAATGTACCAACCTAATTTCGCCACCACTGTTATGGCGCTTGTAACTGATGGACCCGAAAGCACATGGAATAGACTCTGCGTGGAAGCAGAGATGAACAAAATCTGTTACTGAAAGTCCGGCAAGATCAGCAAATTTTATAAACGCATCGAAGAGTAAGTCAGTAGAAATGTATGTTGATTCGGTTCCATCTGCTGGCAAACAGTAGTAGCCGAGTTCGCGTTATTACTTAGTAGCTGTTAGGTGAATGACTATTGCTTCTACGAATCAGTGTGTATCTCTGTTTCTACATACAACAATTTTGTAACCGTTTTCTATAGTATGTTTAACTATAGGTGAAGAAGGTTCATCTACCTGTGCGCATCAAACTTATACATCGTATGTTTTTGAAGTTGTCTAGGTACATGTCTTCCAACCCTCTACATAACGGTTCAAATGTTCTATATGTCACAACACATAAGAACTGATAAACACAATGGGATGTGACGCATTCGTTTATACGCTGTTTAGGTTTGTGGTGAAGTGTGTTTCGTCTTCCCCGCAATGAAAAGATTTGCTGCATAATATGTCTTAATGATTGTTGTTAGTCGAAATCATACTATTCAACTCCCTTCCGTATGGTTGATATAGACACTTTTCTCAGGAACTGTGTATGAAGTGGACTTTGGTGCTACTTGACTTCTACAACAGTTTCCTAAACTTCAGTGGATATCTGTTTTCCGTATATAATTCCGCCGGTAATTTGATATCTTCATCCATCATATTCGATGTGCAGATACAATAGATTCTATCAACCAGGCATTTTACTAAACTTCTCTTGCATTGGATAGGATAACTAAAAATTGAGATATTGTCCTATTCATATAGTGCTTTTGTGAACTAACCGTCTTACTGAACCATCTTCCCCTCGAATCTACAGTATATCTAAGAATTTGAAACAACCCTTTTGATGACTGTCTGATGTAATAAGAAGACGAAGGTTATGAGAAATGTGATGTATTCACGCAGTACATTTCGAATAGTCAAGTCACATATCTACTTGTTGAAGCATTTTATGTGAAGGATGGAAATAGGGTGGGTATGCTAGATAAATTAAGGCGTTACAAGATTCGGGAAATTTATTATCCCCATATTTTCCAAATCTTGTCTTGATTTATTTACCATACTCCACCATATTTTCATCCTTCATATAAATCGCCATGATCAGTTTAGTCCTCTTGTCCCAACGTCTTCAGGTAGTTAAAGTTGGTTAAAAACTAAATTAGTTGATGTGACTCCTTAGTTCCGTAATTCACAACTTAAGCAATAATAATTATTCGGACACAAACGTGGTACAACAAGGGCGCCGAGTAATGTGCCACACAAAATAGTATGACGATTTGAAGGCATGTACGATGGGAAGTGGATAAGTAAGAAAGGAAAACAGTATGAATAGCATGATATGAAGGACAGCCCAGTAAGGCACATTAGAAACGAGACATTCATTACCTTTCAGCAGCAGAAGATAGGGGGAAGCTAAAGCATGACTGCCGCTGGTTTCGATTCTCAGCCGTATCTGATAATGTCTTAAGCCGTTGAGTTGCGTGATCTCTGGGACCCCACCCAGGGAGTCGGTGCTCCGACAGATGCTAACCCGATACAACTACCCTTCATCCCATCGCGCCATGTCGTACTGACCGCCTCTCTGCTTCTTCCATCTAGTCTCAGGAATAGCAAACAATGAACAGTATGGAAGCTATTGCGATGACATGTTTAACACATGTCGAAGTCAGCGTTTTCAGATGACTTCACTTATTGAATAACAATCTCCAACATACCCAAGCACACTGTCACACCTCAAAAGAACTGAAATAAGAAGCATTTTGAATTCACAATATTTCAAGGATTTGCGAAATAGACTTAAGATAGTCGTTCTCAAACCCCATAAAGGATCAGGCACTGTTGTGATGAATAAATGTGACTATGGAAATAAAATGCTGTCAATAATGAAAGCAAACTCATCTGGTGCCCCGTCAGAAGATGTCAGAAAATTGAAAGCAAAGGTAAACGCTAATTTAGTAGGGTTTCTAAATGTGACTACTATTAGTAAAGAAGGATTCAGTTCGTTGAAAGCTATGGGGTCTAAATTTCTTTGTCTTTTTAGATAACCACTCTTTCCGGGGGCTTTGAGGTTCCACTCCCATTGTAGTTATTAAATCTACACCACCGCCATTAAACAGATCACAGGTCAGGGTGGAAGTGTACTACTTCTGGGATCAACCTTTACGACTGCCTCCTTCCTATATAGAAGGTTGCATCAGCATACATATGCTAGTCACCCATGAGAAACGCCTTACTGCTGTCACATCGCCGTCCAGCCAGCAGTAAGAATTCTCCCTCATATCTTCACTATAGTGTAACAGTTTACATTATAATGGCTACTGTTTCTTGTCCTACCGCTATCCAGCAGACTTTCCTGGTATGGTTACTGATGGGCAACACTTGCCATATTTGTTAACCTGTAAATCGCATTTGAC